TTTTTAAAAATTTTTCAAATGAAACAACACTTTAAAAATCCGTAAATGAAAGAGAAAACTTTTATTTGTACAAATAAATGTTCAAGGTTGAGTTTGCGAACACTTTTAGTACAGTCGATCCATGAAAAAAAACGGAGTTTTTCTGATCAACAGCTGCAGTGTCACAAGCATCCTATTTTCATTGATTTCTGCATTTTGTTTTGGTTGTGTGGTACTGAGAATATCCTGATCCAGACAAGTATGTAATTGTAAAGGCTGTGGACTTTTTACATCTCATGCGACTGTCTTGCACCATTTCATTTCTGGAAAGTGGAATATTTGGACTTGTATCTTCAAAGCTAAAACCTTTAGAATAGTTCAAAACTGTTTATATTACTTGAGAGGTCCTCACTGTTTGGTTAAAAGATACTTTTCAAAGGTATCTTTTTAGGATACATGAATCCTTATGTTTATAGCAGCATTAGTTACAACAGCCAAGATAGGGAAGCAGCTCAAATGTCCATGGATCGATGGATAAAGAAAATATGTATATATACATACATAGATACATACACACATACATACATACAATGGAATGTTATTCAACCATAAAAAAGGCTCTCTAGTTACAGTTGTATGTTTATACCACAAATCTCTGATAAAAGTACACTTGATGTATAAGCTAATACAAACCTATTATTTCCATGAAGTAGTTAACTAATGCAATTTCTTTATGAGCAAGAAATTTTCTAAAAAGTCGTATGTCCATTTTCATTAGACATTGGGGAGGGTATGTGCTATGGTGAGTGCTGTGAATTGTGTAAGACTGTTGAATCACAGACCTGTACCTCTGAAACAAATAATACATTATATGTTAAAAAACAAAAAAACAAGAAGATAGTAGGAAGGGAAAAATGAAGGGGGGGAAATCAGAGGGGCAGACGAACCATGAGAGACTATGGACTCTGAGAAACACACTGAGGGTTCTAGAGGGGAGGGGGTGGGGGTATGTGTTAGCCTGGTGATGGGTATTAAAGAGGGCACGTACTGCATGGAGCACTGGGTGTTATACACAAACAATGAATCATGGAACACTACATCAAAAACTAATGATGTAATGTATGGTGACTAACATAACATAATAAAAATAAATAAATAAATAAATAAATAAATAAAATATCACTTTGTTTTCACTTCCACTGATTGTTATGTACTGTTTATTGCTTATGCCAAACAGAAGTACCTGAGCTCGTGGGCCTTTTAATTGTATGTGATTCACACACACTGTGGTGGCAATGTACCCATTTGTACAATTATCCTCATTAAATATGCAAAGACCTATATTTTTTAAACGACCATTGCAGAGCTACAGACTTTCTAATTAATGGCACAGTTTTTACTTTGTTTGTTTATATGTGCATTTGGATATAAATGTGTATGTGTAGATATGCATATCTATGTTTTTATCTATCTATGGAGGAGGAAGAAGATGAGGAGCTGGAGGACAGGAAGTTATTTTTGTCTGGGAGCAGAATTTAACGCTGTTAGAGTCATTAATATGACAAAATGTTTCTATAGAGCACCTCTTAGTATGTTTGTATTATAGGGGTTTTTTTGTACTTCCAAAATGAGGCAATAATTAGTTTGAACCAAGTTTTACAGAAACTGTGAAGAGTTGCAGTTATAACTCAATGTAACAAAGTTTGAAAAATAATGGTTTAGCTGAAGGCCTTTATTTCTTTTAAAATGCAAATACCTCTACTTTCATCTGCAATCAGTCATTTATACATTAATGTGAGTGAATTTATTAGACATCTTTCCAAGGCCTAGATTTACTTCAGTAGAGGGGGAAGCAAAGATAAACTCGGCAACAGAAAGTCGTGGGGAAGATTGAGGATGAAGGCCAGGAGTACTGAACAGCTACTTGGCCTACTTTACAATTGTGCTTAAAGACCATGCCGATTATATAGAACACACTTATTTGTATTTCCAAAAGCAAAAATGAAACAAAACACAAAGACAAACCCACAAAGAAAATATCTATGGAATCAGATGAGTCTGAATATGTTTCAGAATTGCATCCACCTGTTCTAGAATATTCTGTTAGAACAGTAATGTAATTAAAAGAATTACTTATAATTTTGGTCAACTTGAGTTAAATCAAGCATAACATTTCCAACCAGTGAAATTATTAACTGATGATACTCTGATTTTATGCTGTGAGTATCCTCAAAGACTGCAAACAAATTAATTGTGCAGGAGTCCCAGATAATGTACAGCATAATACAGTTGAGGATTTAATGCTCTAAAATGTGATCCTGTACCTTTGGTCTATGACATGTCTTTAAATTGAAAAAAAGTGTAAACCTATTTCTTAATTTGAATGCTTCTACTAAATAAAATAATTTATCTTTATTATAAAATTCTAGGTATGTTTGCCTCCCCTACTCTCTGTCCCCCACCAAAAGCTTTCTAAATTTGATGGAAATAAGCATCCATTTCAATACAGTAAAAATTTAGTTTAAACTTCAAATTTTTTGCAGCAGCATATCAGAAAAGTTGTTTGTTAATATATCAAGAAAGTACTTCCTGAAAAGGAAATTATATTAAGTTTTTTATTTGTTTATATATTTTCTGAGAGTGAAAAATATATTAACGTGAGTCTGGGCTAAAGAAACGTGTTGAACTAGAATTGTATTTTTCATAATTCATTCTAAAGTCAATACTTATAATCATTTTATGTAAATTTGAAAATATATTTAGATTTAAAATACTGATTGACTCTCACATTTAATAGTATTGTTTTTGTGTCAAGATACTGAAGACAAAATCAAGTGATAGAAATATGTACCATTTAGGAAAGGGATGTATGCAGATATTGTAAATAGTAAATTTCACTTCTTAACTAGTAAGTATAACATTTACCGTTAAGAGAATAGATTTGCAATCAAATCTTAGAAGCATTTTGAGATACGTCTGGCTATTTTGTTGCCAAATATATCAATATGAAAAAATCTACATAAAATTAATAAAAAGGAAATACTGGTTAATATAGTCTATTTTTTATATTCAGCTGATAAGGTCATTTTTAATGATGAAATTGTCCTTATCTTGAAATAAAATAACACTCAAAATACTAGTATCGTCGGCTTCAAGAGAGGCAACAAAAAGTTGCCTTCAGTTATGAACATACTTCTGTTATTGCTCATACAATGATCTTCAAACAAAAACTCTGATTTCTACTCTTTTTCCCTACCTTTGTACTGAGAAAAAATGTATTCATGTCACAAACCCTACAGGTTCCCACTTTCTCCTTCGCCAAGAGACAGCCCTATAGTTCCACAACATTAAGTAAGAAGACAAAATGGGAAGAGAGGTGTTTTTGTACAGTTATAGGCAATGACAGTCTATGACAATACTTCTGGCTGATTTGTCTGTGCTTTATTTCAAATGTGTATTACTGAAAAAAGCATACAGAGAGGGGCATGAGTGAGGCCAGCAAATAGCAAGCCTGTAGTAAGCACCATAGGGGTTATATAGACACTTGTCCTGGTTGAGCATAATCATGAGTCTTATAAACTTCAATAGCTCAATAGGCAAACATAGTTGGCAGCTGAACATTGACAATAAATCAGATTTATATATGGATTATCAACATGCAAAGGACATGCCAACTATTGGCATGTAGTGACCACATTAAAAATTTAAAATTGTTATAGACATATATAAAACTTTTTTAATTATATGGACTATATTACTCTGTTTTATTAATCTCCTTAGAAAGCTATTAATCTTACATTTAAATATAAATACAGTATTAATGTCAATAACCCCTAGGAAATAATAATTATATCTAACACTCTACATTTTAAAATCCTCCATGTTTCCACATAGTTATATTCATTCTGAGTATGAAGCATTTTAATTAAGTTGGTATAAATTTGCTTGTACTAAATTACATGACCCTTCAGAATTTACCTCTTTAGGAATATCTATATATTTAAGGGGCTTCAAAAGCTTCTGTCATTGACAGGTTGTAATAAGCACTTCTTTCAAGAGAATAATAACTAATACTTTCTCTGCCAATCTTTGTCACACTCATAGTCACTATATTCCATATAACAGAAGTAACTGCTGGCTACCAGAACTTGAATCAGATACCTGAAGACCCTGAAAGATAAAGCTGTGTCCTACCACCATCAAGCCTACCAACCATCTTCACATTTTTTTGTTATTTATTTTTTAAATATATTTATTTTATTATTTTTCTTGGGCCCATAAAGGGGCCAACCTCTCCATATTCTGCCTTTGCTACACCGAGCTGGCCAAGATGCTTTCTTGGCTATCTGAACGGCATCAATAGTATTAATTAAGTAGATTCTGGAATACACAAAAACTATTGGGGCATGACTGCTTATTAGAATACTACCAATTTGAGATCTCTGTCTATAGAATCTATCAACAAGAATTAGTTGTCATGTCCGAGTGTGACCTACATTAATTACAATGAAATTGAAAATTCTGATGCACAGCTATTCTCTCCCCTTTTGCTAGTCTTTTTTGATCTGTTTCCCAGGTCTCCTCATTGTTGTTATAAAATTTCTGGAAAAATAGCCGCAGATAACCAAAATTTTTTGTAGGGTATTTAAACATGTCATTCTACGTGGTACTTAGAACAACAGCTTAATGTAAGAGAGCTTTGATGTCTCAGCCTGAGTGAACACAGTTGAAGACTAAAAAATCTTGCAACACAACATCGGAAAGCCTTAACAAGGCCCTTGTTACAACAACGCAAACATCCTGACCAAGATGATCACATTTCAGAACTTAATGTGCAATTTATCCTACATTATTATCCACTAACTACCCACACGTATTCTGTTTTCTGTGGGAAGGAGAATAAACAGAATGAAATCCAAAGAAGGAGAATAATGGGAAAAAACCCATGAAAAATATAGCCAGTTTATATACGATTTTAGAATATATTATGATGTATTTTAATTAAATATAAGAAAACTTACCCTGACTTGCAAACTTCAATTCTTTCGCATCTGTGAGTGTGGTCCTTTTGTCAGACCCTTTTTTCTCTATTCGGCGATGGCTTCGTCTTTTCTTAGACTCTCCCCAAAGATTGGATCCACCATGCATGCTTGGTATATTCAAAATAGCAATTCCTTCCAGGGAGATGTTTATTAAATCTATTTGTACTCCATCACACTGATCAGTGAAAAGAGAGGAAAAAAAAAAAAAACAGAAACAGTAAGATATTTGATCTTTTTTCCTTGATTTCCTCTTTTGCATTTCCTTATCTTTCAACAGGAGTTTTTAAGTCCAAAATCCTGCCATATTTAAATAAACCTTTTAAGAACACTTAAATCACTAGTCTAAATGTCAATATAAAGGATAAAGCAGCCATGAACATTAATCAGTTATCATTTAAACATGTCTTTAAACATGATCAAATTAAATCATCAGTCTATCTCTGTTTACAGAAAACCACTGGGAAGGACACACATTAGTGTCTGCATAACCAGCTACAAATTTCCCATGTGTTACAAAAGAGGTTGAGTCTAAGAAGTCTGGTCAATGTTCAGGCAGAAATTTTAATGACTGCCGCCTAGTTAGAACACACTGCAAGCCACTATTGGGGCAAAGTAAGGAAACAGAATTCATAATTCGTGGTATCTCTTGTTTGGGCAGAGAAAGAAGTGGCTTAATACACTTTGGGGGAAAAAAATAAAGTAAAAGACACCAGTTCAAAGAGACCCGAATTACATCAGAGTGGCCAAGGATGGTTTCTTGTACTAGATTAAGTTCCAAGCGCAGTGTTACAGGCAATAAGAGGCACTGTTGTCTAAACGAATATGTAGGACCAGTGAGGCTGAGTGAGAGAAATGCCAAGAACAGCAGAAGCAATGTCCAACCCACCCTTACTCTATAGCTGTAACAATAGATCGAGAAAGGAAAATAATCAGCCAGATTTTTGTTTGTTTGTTTGCCTGGTGACAAAACACCCTTTTGATTGTGAAAAATATAAAACTTGGTAACAGACAATGCTTTGTGATATTCAGAGTGGCCACTTTTTAATCTTTTGAATTTTCTGTCCCTTTCCACTGATGGACATGTGTGAAGAGTGCAAGGCCATGCTGTATTTTTGGAATTATTACTTATTTATTCATTTGCTTTGAGGTTTCTAAAGTGGTACTTATTATAAATGCATCCCAGATATCGTTCTCCCTTTGTCAGTTGTAAGTAAGCTGATAGGAGAAGAGATGCAAATTTATAACTCTTTGTTTTGCAGAGAACTTTGTTAGGGATATGCATTTCCTAGACTTAAGTATATTTGCGGTGGGACTGTTATTTGCCACATCTTATTAAAGAAACAAAACAAAACACTGATACTGACTTCATCTTTCTCTTTCTCATGGCAATGATGATTTTTGAACCTAGAAGAGATAATGCTCCACCAAAATGAAAAAACAAACAAAAAACCAAACAAAAAACCGCTGTTTTTCCACATTTGTCTCTTCGTACTGAATCTAATACTGCATCTTGTTCACTAAAATATAAAAACTGTGAAATAAAGCAACACATCTTGAGTCTACTTGGCAGGGCAAGAAACAAATTCTAGAGAAGGTGCCAAGTTTTCATTCAATTTGTTTCAAAAGGGGTGAAACCGAGGTCTGGATGATGCCTTTTTTTCCCCCTAGAAACAAGCGATTTTTTTCCTCCTTTTCATGTATTAAATTAAGATGATTTCTTTATACTAAAGAATTCTGCTCATGTGTATACTCACTTACTGCTATATATTCTAGATAAACAGATATTAATTTCATAATTAAAAGTAATCTTGTGTAAATACCCTGCAGGCCTCAATGAATCAAACACATACTGTGTGTCAGGCCTCCCACTGTCTTCAAGTGGAATGTACTGGCTGGATAATTAGATAGTACATATTTTTTAACCTTATTTGCATGCATATTATATCTTTTGCACACTGACAAGCAGCAGTAACAACAAAAGTCAGATTACCACAGGGAATTCCCACAAAGAAGTCTTCATTCCTTATAATTTGCAGCCTAAATTAAAATAATTTGATCTTTGACAAGGATGAAATGTCAAGCAGAAGGGGGTCCTCTACAAGCCACGGCCTGTGGCTTCTGAAATCTGCCTAATTTATGTCAGTCACTTCTTAATACATATTTAAGTATTACACGAAAAAGATGATAAATATGCAATCTGACACCTTTGGTATTTCCCTGCTGTTAATTTATAAAGGTCTGGCTTTCCCCAAACTGACTAAAATCATTTAAATAACAGAAGAATTGTGAAATAAGCTAGAGTTAGGGCCTGGCTTCCATTTTCACTCAATATTGAACACAGCAGGTAGTACACTAAGACAATTATTTGACTAGGCCTTAGAACCCCACTGTGACAAGTTACTTTCAGAATTAGTGAAGGAGTATTCCTTTGTTCATCTGTAGCAAAGAAGAGCAGTTGCAAATAGGCTTTTTGTTTTAATTGAACCAGGGGAGTTCCATGTGACAGCTGAAAAACATCAGCGTATACTATTCATGTTTTCACTCTTCAGAGTCTTATCACGTGTAGTTTCAAGGAAACGGAGTGAGCAGCTTTTCAGAAAAATGAAAAAAAAAAAAAAAAAAACCCTGAAGTTCCCAAAGAAGGACTGATGAACACTGAGGTTCCTAGGAGAGCAGGACAAGGTCCTTACATAAATTGCTATTTATTAATGATTTGTTTCCACTAGTTCTTGACCCCAGGTTACCTTCCTCTGTTTGCTTTAACATTATGTTCATTAGTCTGGAAAATTTCGAAGCTAGCTCTGATGGAGACCAGGAATTGTAGCATACCAATTGAGTGCATGGAAATAAAAACTGAGGTGAAGGAACAAGTTATAGTACTGGGTCAGATAATATTTTCATCCACTTTGAAAATTTATGATTTTTAAAAAGGTAGCTACGGAGGAAAAGAATATAAAAGCTTAAAAGCTAACAGCCTTGGTTAGTCAATAAATCCTGAATATTTTTATTATGTAGAAAAAAGGTCGTTAACATATAGTACTATGGGAGCTATTTGCAGAGTGCAATTCTGCGAGGCCATTGTCCATTCTTTTCAGTTTTAAAATGGAAGATCTTATTCCAGAGACAAATTTACTTAAAAGAAACGAAGATGATTTAAATTTTTCTGCCAATGTATTTTAATCCTCATTTATAAGCATACTTTGCACCATACTATACAGAGGTGTTAAAGACAAATTTTTTTTAAAATAAGTGTATTATTTCAGATTCAGTTAACATGTCATTTGATAGAAAAATTCAAAATTGTGAGGAACTTTGGACAGCTGTAAGTATGGATAAATTTGATGAGATACAATTAATGATACACCGTAAATATTTTTTTCATAATGAGTTTAATTCTATGCCCAGGTCAGACAAAAATCATACCTAATTGCATTTAATCAAATGTAAAAACATTGCTTTGTTCATTGTATAAAATAGCATGGAGTAAAATGACTCACAAAGGCCCAATTTTTAAGAGTTTCTGCAAATTCATATGTAATTCATAAGACAAGATTATGTACGTGTTTGCAGAAAACAACAGCGGCAAATCTACAAATTAAAATACACATGTACACGTTAATGGCCGAACAGTGTCTCTTCTGATATTTGAGGGCTGTGGTACTCTGTAAGTTTGATGCTTTTTGAAATGCATTTTATAAGTTTTATCTACAAAACACAGTGTGATACAGGGGCTTGGGACATGAGTTTTAGGTCAGTTTACTATTAGTTGGCAGTCCAGTGGTGGTGATGGAAGTGTTGATTGTGGGTAATCACAAGACAGGTCTCAGAGCAGAATGGAAGCTGGTAGGTCAGCAAGAGGAAGATGAAAGCAAACCCAGAAAAGAGGAAAATTTGAGGCCTGTACCATGCAGGCACACACACAGTTGCTCAACATGTTGATAATAATAAAATACTGCTGGCTCAAGATATCCAGTATTAGCCTTAAATATTAGCAGAAAACCAGTCTAGTTTTACATGTGTTCCTCTTTTAGTAGATTCTGTGAAAGCTAAAAACTATTGCTGGGATATTAGAATTCTTACCAGAAATTATCTTATTAAAAATAACTTCTGGTAAACACAGAAGAGAATATTCACCTTTTGGTCATTCGCCCCCTTTTTCCTTGTTTCATTTCTTCCTCATTCTCCTAAGAAAAATTATGATGTTTTATCTCAATAAAATAACACTGTGCCCCACCCCCACTAAATTTCTTATTCTTTTCTGGAATAAGGAGTTATTTTTTATGTTTTGGATTAATGAGCTCAACTTTTGTTTTTAGTGACCATCTTTGTTGAGGTCCACATTTTCACTGTCTCTTTTAATTATTGTTTCTACAATTTCACTGGCCAAAAAAAAAAAATCACCCAGTAAGCTTTAGAAGAGAGGATAGATCTTTTAAGTGTTCTTATCACACACACACACGTGCGTGCACACGTGCGCACACACACACAAAGGGCATGTGATGGATATAATGATGTCACTGATTGTGATGATGGTTTCATGGGCACATACTTATACTCAAACTCATCAAGTTGTATACATTAAATGTGTACAGCCCTTTGTACGTCAACCATGCCTCAATAAAGCGGTTTAAAAAAATATCCATTCACAGTTTCACTTCTCCAGCCCCAGACTGTGGTTTGGTATTGTGAAGACCAGGCTCAGGTACTCTAAATATGTGTTGAAAGAGCATCCAGGGTAATTGTGATATGTGGGGCAGAGAATGAGCTATGAAAGTCTGCCCCATTGCCTTTAGAAGCTCTGTGTTTTCCAGATTACCGGGTAATAACAATCTTAACTGTAGAATCCTCCTAATTTATTTTGTATCCCTGATGCTTTTTGTGCTCTGTTAATTCTTGACATCATTTTGGTTTTATAGAAGTAATTAATCATTAAAACAAATCCTAGTACTTTAGAATGGATATTCTAAATCTTAAAATACACCATCCCTCCCAGTCTAAATGACAACCAAAAGACTGAAATACTTTGGAGAACGGGCTATTTTATTCTCTCATGAATTTTGCCTGGTGCATGGAACAAATTAGAAGTCCACAAACCTTATAACTTCAATTCCAGATGTTGACCTGAGATTCTTAGGTGTACATCTATGCCCCAAATAGTTTAATACAAACTTTGCTTTTAACATAGTATCTTGTAAATTTAAAGGTTTTTCTTCTATTAAGTTCTTTATCTTTTGTAACAAATTTAGAGGATAACTGAAATTTTTAATTTTGAAAATTTCAACTTTGTTCATCTCTCTTCCACACCATATATATATGCATATTATGAATATGTTATATATATCATATATATCTTGCCATATATATGTATATACATTATTATATACATATATGTAATTTCCAATTTATTTGTTTCCTTAGATTTAAACATTTTGGCAGCAATACAATTCTTGTTACTCTTAAATTATTAAATAAAATGCTCATCTGCTTATCTCTATAGTGGAGATATTTTAGAATCTCTCTAACTGATAGGATTTTGACAAAGACTTAAATCAGATAATGTATATACATTGCTTATACCAAAAATCAGGTATAATTAATAATAGCTAAAACATTAGCTATTATTATTATCAACTATTATCCCATGATACTCAATTTTTTCCAAATATTCACCCCCTTGGAAAAAGTTTCCTATATGAAAGAGAAAAGTGTAATAAAGGGTCACACAGCAAATAGTTTGTTTTGAAGAAGCTGCTAATAAAACATGTATCTTTTTGAGGTACTCTCGTACTTTTATCCTCTGTTATATATTTTCAAATCATTGTTGGCATAATCTTAGGCCAAGTAGGGAGCAACAGCAAACAGAATCAAATTTCCAAACTGATGTTTTTGTTATATCTAATTATAAAGCAACCTTGAGGGTAAAAAGGCATATTTTGCTAATATGATAGACTGGATTCATTAAAAAGTGAGTGGAGAAGCAGGTTTTGCATTACGATCTATACACAAACACACATAAACCTCCCCAAGTTTTAGAATTGAGATAAATATGTAACATTGTAACAGTATTTTCAAGATATGCAACAATAAAGTGGGGAAGGCACAGTGCTGGTTCTGATTTATAAATGCTAACGCAATGGGCACCAGAATAAGCCAGCAAATGCAGAGCTGGGAAGCCAGACTTGGAGGGCTTATAGAAGCATGACCCCAGGAAGAATAACTTATTCTAGTTGTCCAGATTTCTTGGAGAAGATTCTAAATAGTTTTTCTATAAAATGTAAAAAGCTCTGTGGAATAAAACCACTCAATTTATCATTATAATTTTTTTTTTTTAAAGAGAGAGACAGAGAGCCTGTGTGCGTGCAGGAAAAAGGGGAGGGGCAGAGGGAGAGAGAGAGACTCTTACGCAGGCTCCATGGCCAGCATGAAGCCTGACCCGGGGCTAGATTCACAACCCTGAGATGACCTGAGCTAGAATCAAGAGTCATACACTTAACCGACTGAGCCACCCAGGAGCCCCATAACTTGTTATTTTCATTCAAATGTCCTTGGTTATATTTCCTTAATCATTTTTAAAGAATTTTTTGACATACATATTATACTCTAGATCTAGACTTTATTTTTTTAGAGCAGCTTAAGGTTCACTGAAGAATTGAAGGGAAGGTACAGAGATTTCCCATCCACCCCCTGCCTCCCTCGACATGCGCATTCTCCCCATTTATCAACATCCCCAACTGAGTGGTGCATTTATTACAATGGATGAACCTACATTGACACATCACAATCACCTAAAGTCCACAGTTTACGTTAGGGTTCACGCTTGCCATTTATTTTTCGGGTTTGAACAAATGTATAATGAGATTTATCCACCATCATTGTATTTTACAGAGTATTATAACTGCCCTAAGATGCTCTTTGCTCCGCTTATTCATCCGGCCCTCCCACTACAACCCCTAGCCACCAGTGATCTTTTTACTGTCTTACAGTTTTACCTTTTCCAGAACGTCATATGTTGGTATCCTACAGTATGCAGCTCTTTCAAATTGGTTTCTTTCACTTAGGAAAACATATTTTAGTTTCCTCCACATCTTTTCAAGGCTTGACAGCTAATTTCTTTTTAGCACTCAATAATATTCCATTGTCTGGAAGTACCATAGTTTATTTCTCTACTCACCTACTGAAGGACCTTTTGTTTGCGTCAAAAAATTTTGGCAATTATTAAACTGTTATGAACATCCATGTCCAGGTTTTTGTGTTGACATAAGTTTCCAGCTCCTTTGGGTAATACCAAGGAACATGACTTCTGGATCATATGAGTAAGTTCAGTCTTGTAACAAGCCACCAAACTGTCTTGCAGAGTGGCTGTACCATTTTGCATTCCCATCAGCAATAAATGAGAGTTCCTGTTGCTCTACATCATTACCCAACATTTGGTGTTTTCAGGAATTTAATAGGTACAGAATTGTATCTCATTATTGTTTTAATTTGCATTTCTTTGATGACATGATGTGGAGCATCATTTCATGCTTATTTGCCATCTGTATATCTTTTTTGGTGATGTATCTTTAAGTCATTGGCCAATTTTTTTTCAATGGGGTTGTTTATTTCCTTATTAAGTTTTTAAGAGTCTGTGTATTTTGGATTAACAGTCTCTTATCAGACATACCTTTGCAATTATTTTCTGTTTGGGGCTTGTTTTCTCATTCTCTTGACATTGCCTTTGACAGAGCAGAAGTTTTTTAATTTCAGTGAAGTCCAGCTTATCAATTATTTTTTCCACTGATCATGCCTTTGGTGTTGTGTCTAAAAAGGCATCAGCATACCCAAGGCCATTTAGGTTTCCTCCTATGTTCTCTTCTAGACATTTTACAGTTGCACATTTCACATTTAGGTCTGTGATCCATCTTGAGCTCATTTTTGTTAAAGGTGAATTCATTTTTTTAGATTTTTTGTTGCTGTTGCACGAATATCCAGTTGTTCCAACACCATTAGTTAAAAAAAAGACCTCCTTTACTCCACTGCATTGTCTGTCTTACTTTGTCAAAGACAGCTGAGTGCATTTATGGGGTGGGTCTATTGCTAGGTTCTCTATTCTGCTCCACTGATCGATTCATCTGTTCTCTAACCAACACTGCACTGTCTTGATTATAGTAGCTTTATAGTAAGACTTGGAGTCAGGTAGTATCAGCCCTCCCGCTTTGTTCTCCTTAAACATTGCATTGGCCATTCTGGGTCTTTTGACTCTCTATATAAACTTTAGAATCAGTTTATTGATACACACACACACACACACACACACACATATTGCTGGGATTTTGACTGAGATTGTTTTGAATCAATTGATCAAGGTGGGTAGAACTGACATCTTGACAATACAGAGATTTCCTATCCATGGAACATCCATTTCTCCTAGTTCAACTTTTTTTTCAATCTGTATTCAGTGGTAGGATGAGGTAAGGAGAGGTGCAAGAGGTTTCAGAGTACCCACCCTACATTCAACCAGAGGTCATACTTTTTTTTTCATTTTTGCTTCTGCTACAGATTGTCTTTGAGCATAGGTTTCTGAAGGTAAGAAAGGATCAAAATCCACTATATTAAGAATTTTTTAAAGTAATGATTTTTGAAGGTAAAGGGATATTTGTATTTTTTATAAATGTATATGCACATATATAATTACCTAAATATATCACTCTCTACAGATGTACATAAATATATACATATATAAATCTTGATGAATACTAATCACAGAAAGTCCATGTTGAGCCCAAATCCTTCACCTTTTGTGATTATATTCCTTTTCGGGGTTATGATCTGATTCAGTCAAGAAGGGTATTTTTCATTCCAAGATCATCAATTCTACTTCTACTTCAATTTATCCACCAAAAATTCCAAAAATGTTACATTTTGAAATAGTGTCACTTTTGCTCTCATTATCATTTAACAGTAAATTAGGAAGCTAGAATAATGAAAAACTTAGCCAGGCCATTATGATCTAATGGGTCCATAACTACTTTTGTTTACCAAACTTATTACCTGAGTATGTGCCGCTAATGATTTAGGTCTCAGTAGACAAGTTATGCATTTATTTTTAAAATAAAAAGTGTTGAAGCCAATATTTCACAAATCATATCAGCTAGTCATTAGGTGTTCTGGTTTCATAATTCTATTCCTTTGGTTTGTCTTTGCCACTCATCAAAATATAACTTTTCCTTTTTCTTTACCCCCTAAAATCTCTCAATAAAACTAAGTCATTTTCTATTATAACCCATCTTCAAAAATTTTAGTCGTACCGTACCTATATTTTTTGGTAGACCTGTTTGCTCCAAATCTTTTCAAAGTGTGTCTTTTCTTGCTGTCTTTGCTCTCTCTTTTTGGCTTTTCCACTTCCTATAAATGTAATGGGGAAATGGCAACCTCAGGAACTGAGAAAAATCTAGTTAATGAATGGGAATGGAAGGAAAAAGTATTTTTTAACCTTTATTCATGAAAGTAAGTACAATTTTTGCAAACTGTGTTAAAGGTTATAAGATATTGAAACCTGAAAATAAGGGTTGGGGTTTTGTTTTTTTTTTGTATGTATCTTGCAATTTTTTTTCTTTCTCTTCAAATACTTTCCTTTATTTTACATTTATCTATCCACACTATGCCTAGTAACTTCTCCATTGAGTTCTAAACTTCTCTATTGTTCCACCTCTCATCCTTTAATACTGTATTAAAAGAACTCCTACTCAAAACTTAACTTTATACTAATAATTCAGAGTGCTAGAATCCCAACAAGTGACAGAAATGAAATTTTAGAATTGTGAGTTAAAGCTATGTGGATTGCTCAAAGTGTAACTCCTTACATGGGCTGTCAAAAACATATTGATAACCAAACTCAAGTAATTTCATTGTATTACAAAATATAATTAATTTTTCTTACTTCTATTTCTACAGATTCATGTAGCTTCTTGCAGGTGGCTGAGAAAGTTTCAGATGTGCCAAACTCAAAATACCAAAATTTGTTCTTCATTCTGAAAAAGGAAAGGAAGAAGCAGCTTAGGCAATTATCAATAACAGAAGGGATTTTTTAAAATTAAGTAGCCCTGTCTTGTATTATAAGTCATAAAAAAGGTTTGAGGACATATACCATTCATAATGTAATAGATGGTCACATAATTTTCAAAGCTTAAATGTTGGTGTCAAACTCTATGATTGCCCCTGAGGCAATTACAGGAATGTGTTGATCTGACAGATTCAAGTATACCTTTGACTTTTCTATATATTGGTTGCTCAGATTTTAAAATATGATTTTAGTGCTTATAAATCTTAGCTTGATCTTAGACAACTTGATTTAGACCTGCCACTCTGTAATCATAAAGAGAAAAAACAATTGGGGCTTTTTATGAGAAAAATGAGATTAAGCTAACTATGCTAAATTTTTCTTGATAGTTCTGTACTCATTAGAAATTGGCATGATTGGATAGCATATTACAAAGAAACAAATCGTAGTTACCCATTAAGCTAAAATTGAGTAACTTTGGGATAACTATTCATTATTTTTTAAGATAGTATCCACCTTTCTATGAATAATAGTGGAAAATTATGATACAATATACAAGAACTAAAGAAGTGGTAATAGTATTTTATCAATATAACAAGAGTTACAAAGAAAATATGGTTTAAAATATTTCAGTATCAAAATTTATTTCTCCCATGACCCAAAACCATCTCTTTCTTTGTGCCTGGTAAATAAATTTATGATCATTTAATGTAATTTTACAAGGACTGACTAGGTTTTTATATTACCCAATACTGGATTTAAAAATTCATTCTCATGAAAAAAATGCAGTTTTTAATTATACATATTTTAACAAGATGTTATGCCCTCAATTAGAAGAAAATACAGGTAAAAGGAGATACATGTTTTCACACATACAGGCAAAACAAAAATTTTTGTCATATTCAAATCTACCTCTCATATTATATTCTTTTTGACTTAGAAATATTGATAATGTGCTTTTCACATTACAACATAAAACATTTCAGTAATTAAAAATACATTTGGCAAGGACCTTACTATTTAATTCAGCCCTATTATTTGTTATGGAAAACAATATGGAACCTAATTCAGTGTTCATTATTACACTGTGTTGAATAGAGTTCTGTGATATTAAACTACAAATTATAAAAGTAATCTCATTTACCTAGACATATTCAGTAATACAGCCTCATACAAGATCTTATTTCCTTACAAGATTTTCACTAGCCATTCTTGTATCAATTGCCTTACCTGTGCCAGTAATCTGAAAATTTCCTATTCCTAGGATTCTGGTACCATGAACCCTCATTTTTTTCTAGAGAATATTTTCCTTGAGTTATGACCTGAGTTCATATATCTGAGTAGTTAAAAATAGATGATAGCTAATTTGATAGAACAGGGGCAAACATTTAACATCAAGATCTGTGGGCCTAAGCCTACATGCAAATTTATATTAATGCAAATATCTGCTTCAGAGAATATATGTAATTTTACAAATTTATTCACTGACTGAAGTTACAAAAATTAAAAATATTTTCCTATTGACTCATCATTCTGATGAAAACATGTTATTCAGTAATTGAGAGAGAAATATTCGTCATATGCAGTAGTTTTGAGACAACCTTAGAATAATAATAAGCAGATGTTTTATGACTGTTTGGAATTGTCTTTCTACATTCAGCAAGTTTTCTGGTAACATTTTTGCGTTAGCATTTTATCCAGACCTTCCTGGATTCATTTACTCATCCATTCATTCATTCAACAAATATTTAGCAAGGACAGCAACTTCCATATGCTACTGTAATAAGTTCTAAATATATAAATATGAATACAATTATCTTTGTCTCCAAGGAACTCAGAATGTTGTAGGATGATGGGCATATAAGTTCATTAAAAAGTTAATGCTCTACAAAAATATGAGCCAAATGTTACGGGGAAACATTTCAGTGCGTCAACTACTTTTACCTGGGAGTGTCCAGAGAGCTTTAGAAGAGAAGGTGACGTTTGAATTGGTTAAGTCTAAGGAGGCAAACGAAGAAAGACAAGTTCTGGGCAGTTTTAGGAGTGCAGAATGACTTAAGAGAATGCTGGGTATGAGCTAACAAGGGTCTGTTTCAGAACGTGTATGTCAAGCTAAGGGGTTTGGACCTGATATTCTAGATTAATAGGATGCTGACAGAAGTTTATTACCAGTCAAGTGACATGGCCAGTTCTGTTATATGAGCAACAAGTTTAGCAGAAATGAGTAAGAGGGCTAAAATGTTGAATGCTAGTAGTGTGAACAGAAATGTGGCTGTTGGAATAGTACAAATGAAATATCACTGAAGGCCTCAACCTAGTGGAGAGGGAAATGGAGAAGAGAGGCTCAATCCAAGGAGCGTAAATAAGGTAGCACCGATAGGAATCTAATCGTATTACTAGATTGTACTAATTTTTGCCATACCAAAGTTATTTCTAAGTGTACATGTGGGAATAACAGAGCATTACTCCAGCAAAAGAGGGCTTTGGGTTTATGTTATGACAGGTTCTATCAGGGATCTAATGAATACTGTATTGCAGTTTGAATATATATATATATGCACACACACAGATACACAGACATATGCACACACACATATACACACAAGACTTCTTATTGCACATAAATGATTACTCCCTATTTTTTTCCACTCTACCCATCAAAATTCTTCATAGCTTAATTAGGATGATGGGGAGCTTGTATCAGCTAACCAAAATATACCAACTTCAGTAAATGCATCACAAAAAAAGAAATTCTGAGAATTTACATTCAGCCTTTACTCACCGTATTAGTTAGCATTACTGCTCATGTGCAAAAGCTGCTTTAAATTCTCCATTATTACAACCATTTTATGTTTCACTTAGATAAATATATGGAGGTAATAAAAAACACATAGAATCAGATTCCACATGACAAATTAAGAGCTGTTAAATTTTATTTTTTCAACCAAACTGGTCTTTAGGTTGTAGAAATGCAAAAAAGCACATTTAAACATGTATGCTATTTATTTTTATGGCTCACATTAGAAAATGATCCAAATAATTCAAACTCAAATTTGTCAAAGAGAACCTATAGCTTTGGACTTTAAGAGTAAGATATCTGGATGTTTCACACACTATGAAATAGCCACACCAAAGTCAAATTTATTGTATTCTTAGACAGGTTTTGTGATTGTAGGTATGATGACAAATCTCCTACAAAAAAGTTATTCATACTATTATAATTTTAATTAATATATTAAATCCTATTTCAATGAATTTAATTGTAAGTCTACAAGTTTCATTTTAATATTTAAAGTGCTTGGTTACCAGATGTTCAGGTAAAAATTTAGAAAAAAATTAGCGCACATTTATCAAGATTTTCTTACTAATAGTAGCTTTGCCTCTTTTACATATCCTCAGGGAAATGTAAATGATCAGAAATTTTATTCAAGCAAAGAATCATTCTCATCATTATGAAATTTAGGTAACATTTAGTTTTTCAAGTTCTGAACTTTCAAATAGGTAATTCAATTTCTAGCAATATACTTTCCTTGGAATTTTTCTTCCTGGTATACATGTCTTTTGATCTGGTTTTAGTCGGCTAAGTATTGTAAATGCAGCAAACATAAAACAAACAAACGGAACATGAATTGGCTAGTACATTTCCCAAAAAGAATAACAAAGAGCCTAATTAGGTATTAAGCTCATTTCTAATGAAGATGCAACATACAGAGAGGGGTCAAACTGCCTCATTTATCTTGCTGTAGAAAGCTCAAAAGTCATAAACACACAGAAAGTGTTAATTCAGTGAAATTACTCTTAAAGGTCAACTTTTTTTCCTCAGAAATGTCTTGCTTTTATTTTTATTATATTATAAATATATATAAAATTACTAATATATTACTACTTAATATGTATAAAACTGAAAAGCCTTCTATTAGACACCTGAATCCCCTTTTCAAGTCCCTTTAACTAAGCTATTCTATCTACATTATATGGATAACATGCTCATCAGATTAGAAAATAAAACCCTTCTGATCACTGCTTTTCATATGAAAGTAAACACACAAGGTCTTAAATAGCTTAGTTAGGAAGAATTTAAAACCAATACACTTTTCTAATCATTAAGGATGTTTCAAAAATCTCATCTTTTTCATTAGCTTTCTTTTACTTTTGTCCTGTTCCGAAAGTATTTCAACAGTTAACTTCAAATCTGGTTTGAAAATTATTGTCT